TGTGAATATCTTATGACCTTTAAAAAAATTAAAACTTCTGATTATGTTACTGTAACATAATTCAGTTAATTATTCTCATTAGTAGCCAAGTTGAATAATTTTGTCTTGCACAAACAAGCTTCCACAAATTTAATACATGCTCTTCGGACATATTAATTTGCACATGCAAACGCTGTTCCCAAAGGGACTTTCAGGCATAGTAAATCACATTGCGGATGCAAAATGAATCTCTTTGCATAAACACCGCCCTGTATTTTGGACCTTTAGATTGAAGCACCCCAAATTGCATGTTCATTAGGTCAAACACACAAAACAAACAAGACACACTATTTTGTCCAGGTAAAAGACACAATCCTCAACAGACCCTTTTAGTAAATCAGCTTTGTGGGTGTTAGCAAGATTGCACCTGTTTTTACACAAGCAAATCTTTGGTCAGTCAAGGCCTTGAACTCAGAATAAACTCACTGTCTTTTTGTGTCCTCAAACATCCTAAACATCAGCTCAATATACATGGTTACATGGCTAGACCTTCACCTTAATTAAAATGCCCCAATTTACAAATACACGTCATGCGATGGAGTCGGAGACGGATGCAGTTGCAGTTTAGAATTTTATTAAAACTGGCAAACAAACCTAAAACTCGAATCAAACTCATAACCAGGAACAGGCAAGATGTCAGGTGATCAGCAAACAGCAGTTCAAAGGCAAAATCCAAATGACAAAATCAAGGAAGCAAAGCAACATCAAAAAACATTTTTGTGGTATGTACTCTTTACCAGGTTTGTCAGGTTGTTCTTTGTCAGGTTGTCAAGGGGTGCTGGTGGTGTGGTGGGGGGAGCTTCTGATGCTAGTGGTCCAGGACTGACAGGTCAACTGTGACTTGGCAGGTTGATGTGACAGAGGATCTTGTAGGGGCCGATGTATCAGGCATTGAGCTTCTTACATCCCTGAGTGTTTCTCAGATCCTGGGTGAACAGCCATATGCAGTCACCTGGCTGAAATTATGGGGTTTCCCCATGGTGTCTGCAAACTCTTTGTTACGTTGACCCACTTGTTTTATGTGCTGATGCTTGTTCTTCCATACTTGCTTACGCCGCCAAACCACTCGTCTACTGCAGGTGAGTCTGTGGGGTTAGCGTTCCAAGGAAACAGTGGTGACCGGTAACCGAGTACATTTTGGAAGGGCGTCAGTTGTGTGGCTGAGTGGCATAGAGAGTTCTGTGCATACTCAGCCCAGAAAACTGAGAAACTGAGCCTCTTGGTTCTCTAAACAGAATGTTTGCAGAAACCACCCAATATCCTGTTTAGCTCATTCTACTTGTCCATTGGACTGTGGGTGGTACCCTGACGTAAGGCTTACCGAGACTCCCAGCTTTTCCATAAAGCTAGACCAGACTCTGGAGGTGAATTGTGTGCCTCAGTCACTCACAATGTCCTCCAGGATCCCAGAGTAACGAAACACATGGTTAAACATCAACTCAGCAGTCTTGAAAGAGGTGGGCAGGCTAGGCAGGGGAACTAGACGTAGGAACTTTGAGACTCTGCTGATGACAACCATAATCACTGTGTTGCCGTATGACTTGGGGAGGTCGATAAAGAAGCCTATGGAGATGTGGGACCAAGGGCGTTTAGGTGTGGGTAAGGGCATGAGCTTGCCAGCTGGGAGTATGTGTGGCACCTTTGCCTGAGCACAAGCAGTGCAGGATGAGATAAACTTGTGGATATCTGTGATCATGGTGGGCCACCAGTATAATGCCTTCAACAGGTGGTAAGTTCTCTGTGTTCCAGGATGCCCAGTAGCTGGCATTGCCAGGTAATGAGCTTCCTCCTCAAACTGGGTGGTACAAACCTGCACCCTGGCAGGCATGCAGAGGGAGTTTGAACTGGTGTACATGCAATCTTGTCATCAATGTCTCTGATCTGGGTGAGATTATATGTGCTGCATAGGTCAGTTTTGTGAATATCTTGGCTGACCAGAGCTGTTCCAGTGCAGAAGGTAAGGTGCAGTGCGCAAGGCTTATATGGGTCCGTCCGAGTTGCATGGGCTCGGGGCAGTCAATCTCTGGCATGGGATTCACCACCCGCTTAGGAATGTGGCAATTGCAGATGAGATGGTCCAAATGATTGGCGAGGTCAAACAAGGAGTCCATTGATATGTTGTCATCCCGGCATGCCAGTTCAGGAAGCACTTTCTGGTTGAGCCCTTGTTGGAAGGCAGCTTTGAGGTCCGACTCATTCCATTCGCTTCCTGCAGCAAGTGTGCAGAATTCCAGTGAGTATTCAGCGGCATTCTTGCTCCCTTGAGTGACTGTAAGGAGTTGTTCGCCGATTTTCTTGCCTTCAGGGGTATGATTGAAAACTCACTGAAACATCTTTATGAAGCGGTCATATGGCAATTCCCCTCCTTGTTTCCAGACCACGGTAGCCCACTTGAGGGCTTTGTCTGTGAGCAAACTACATTTACATTTACATTTACATACAAACTGATGAATTGGGTGATCTTCTGTTGATCCAACACCCCCTCTTGACCCAAGAAGTAAAACGAATGCTGTAGCAGGAAGCCCTTGCACTGGGAAGTCTCCGCATATTTGTCAGGGCGAGAGATGAGCAAGCCGGGGTTTTGCACTCGGGGCTCTTTTGGAGATGAAACCTGAGGAGATAGTGCTGGTGAGCAAGTTAAGTTTGGTGTCCAGCTCAGCCATGACGTTGCCATGGCGTTGTGCCAGTTTGATTCTCCTTCTGCATCCACAGTGATGGTGAAGTAATCTGTCAAGTGACAGAATCTGTGACGGAGGCAATTGCAGTTTAGAATTTTATTAAAACTGGTAAACAAATCCAAAACGTGGAGCAAACTCATAGACAGGAACAGACAAGATGTCAGGTGATCAGCAAATAGTAATTCAAAGGCAGAATCCAAATTACAAAAGCCAGGAAGCAAAGCAAGATCAAAAAACAGGATAGCAAACATGTAAACAAAAGGCTTGTTAAGTCAGGTAATCATTTTCTTCGCAAAGAGTCATTGTGAGGGTCCGTGTATATATAGGCTGAGGGTGTGACTGGAAAAAGGTGTACCTCATTAGTATATAGCTGAATGGGAATATACTGGTGGAGAGAGGCGTTAGGGATTGTAGTCCATGTCGACAATGTTTGTAGGTCACGGTGTGTTCTGGGAAGTGGAGTTCCCAGTGGTTTTCGGCGTTGGCGTGACAGCATGATATGCAAAATGGAAACACCCCAGTGACTTTGTCATCCCAAATAACTAGCCGGCTAGTTAACTGCTAACTCTTAACTGTTAATGGTCACAGATAGACACGAGTTGAATTTTAGTGTCAAAGTCTTGATTTGCATCATCATATTCTCTGCTATTTATTTAATAGTAATCATGGGCATATTTCATTACATCACAAACTGAGATCATACAAAATTCTCCCCAAATTAGGGTGTTTTTTAAGTTACAGAAATATTGAGAAAATCTTTGTTTTAAATAAAATAAAAATAATACAAATTTGACCAAACACTATAAAATACCCTAGGAATCAGGAATCCCAGTGGAGGTGGCTTTTTTTTTT